AGGGATCTATAAGAAAGGGCCAGCAACTATGGCCTAGCATAGCCCACGAAGAAAAGAAAAAGTCTCTCTTATCTGCCTTGGCATAAAAGAGGCCCCCTCTGTATGAATTTAAAGTGCAATTTTTGTTTAAAATACCGTATTTGGTATTGTGTTCCCTTTGAGTTCTTGAATTTATTGGCAAGTCAAATTTTAGTCATTCAATATATTTAATCAATGTTCGAATTTCCTACATATAGTCACTCAGGAAGTTCGACACCAATAATTTCGGGTTTAATTGTCGTTCCTAATTATAATGGAAGGTTACAATTACCATCCAAATTCCTACAAGCACAAGAAATCTCATTTGCCAATTAGTACTTGGTGGTTGGTAATCCTTCCCTGGACCTCACCATTATTCATCGGGGGCGTGTTTTATAATTAATTCATTTTGCATATATTATAATTCTTGCGGAATCTTATAGAAAGTATGCATAACCAGGATTCCGTAGAAAATGTATGCATTATTGGTTGATTAGAGTTTTCACATTAGGATTCGGAATCTTATATAGTAGTTGACTAATGTGTAGAATAGGGAGATATCAGGAATATCATACACTATTTCCTCCTAGTGAATCTTTCCATTTGGGAAATTAAAGGGCACCAAATTTGATACTACAAAATCATATTAAATCATTCAACGAAAAAAAAATCATATTAAATCATATTTCTAGCTTTCTACTTTAATTATATTTAATGGCTCAAAATCGGACTCATCATTCTGCACACTTCTGCCTTTTTTCTGATACGAAATTCAGAGGATACATGGAAGCTTTTTTGACAAATCAAAAATTATTTTTGTCTAATCTCTCATTTTTTTAATGAGGCATATGTCTTTCATTTTAACTCCAAATTCAAATATTTTATATAAAAATAACGCATTAATTAAGATTTATATAATGATATTTATTTTGTTATATTTTGATATAAAATAACTATTCAAAACACATATTTGTTATAATACTATCACTATTTATGACAGAGGAAGTAAGGCGGAATTTTTTTTTACTGAAATAAACCCAATAGCTTGCAGTATTCCCTGAAATTCCTTGCTTCATGCATTTAAAATTAGTTAAGTTGGACTAGTGCAAACAAAGTCAAAAAATAAGCTCACCTACTTAATAATACCAAGAAAAGGCCAAAAGAATGCTGCTTGCAGTGACGAACAATGGTGTGGATAAATATGATTGTATCACTTTCAAGGGTTCCATTCGGTCAAAAGGTTCAATATTCATTCTTATCTTGCCTGAAAGTCAAGGTTAAACTTAAGGTAGCACACAACACATCACAATAGTTTATGTGTCCATTGTATACTTTGATAAACTTCTCAAACTATGTTGTCAATGCCCTCCCTCCCTCTCTGGAATTGATAAATTTCCAGTTGCTGCTGCTTTCCCATTTGTTGTATTAATTGTGCCGCCATTACTATTCTTATAAGCAGCTTTCGTTTACAAAATGAACATGTTATAGTACAAATTGAATGTTGTGGTACAATTTTAGTTTTTATATATATGTTATTTGTACAAACTTTATTATGGTACAAGCTGAATTTGTATAGTTAATATTGTTGGGTACAAATTTAGTTTGTTCATATACATTTTTCGTATAAATTTTTTTATGATACAAACTAAACTTGTAACTTCAACGTTAAGATATAAACACAGTTGAAAATTGAATTCCTACGGTATTATACTTTTAGCTACAAGTTGAATATATATTGTAATGTTGAAAATATTTGTATTATAAAGAAATTTTTCTGAGGGGGATAAAGCATGGTCAAATTCACTCATTGCAGAGTTCGTGCCAGCAGTAGGTTTCGTTTTTCAATAAACATTTTAATCACAAATTTGGGGCTTGAAAAGTTAGCAACAAGTACTTAATAAATTATTGGCCCTTCAGAAAATGTGAAAGCCAGTTCTGTAATTATATTTTAATGATACCGCAAAATTCTCTACTTAAATATGAGGATGACAAGTCAAAATCATTATGCTTCTAAAGTTTAACAAAAAAAGATCTTCTTCAATCTTCCTCTCTTAGGGTTTTATTAGGTGGATCACTTTTATTTGCCTGTTCATTTCTGCCAAATCCAATAATATGATTCATAAAAAAAATCCAATAATATGTTACTGACTTAATAACTTAGACCCCGGTCAGCTGTTTAGACGATTTTTTGTTAATATAATTTGGTTTGTGTCTAATGATAATTTTTTTATAGATATGAAATAGTTGCGTATTATGGTGGTACAAAACTAAAACATATTAGTATAGTTTAGTAACTTTAAAACATGAATGTGATTTGTAAGCATGATAGTACATAAGGTATATGTATATGGAGTATATAACTGACTGCTATTGATATAGACATATAGTTCAGTAACTATATCGAATAGAAATGTGATTCTTGAGTATGTGGTCGTGATCATTTCTTTGGATTCTGAATTCAACATATATCAAAATAGATATTGTTTTGTAGATCACATAAAATATAATTTTTGACGCAAAATATTCAGAGTTCAAACAAAATAAATACATATCCCCTAAGAATATTAGGCGAATTGAAAAATAAGAGAGAGTGTACTATGTGACGGATTCTAATTAGATTATTTGAAACTAAAATTAAAAATCACAATTTCAATTTCAATTTCAATTTAGACTATTTGATCTACGAATAAAAGAAAAGAAAAAAGTTTGGTTGGTCATGTAAGAAATCAGAAGATTTGAAATTGTGTAGTGTAAATAAGAAAATATTTATTATATTTCATAGATAGATGTTAAAAATAAATAAATTTTATGATTTTTCTTAAGAATCATGAATCTCATAATATAATATTCATGTAATAAACTAATTATTTGGTATGGTCTCGTGCACTAATTTCAATAATTTATATAAAAATATATTATGAACTTTCTTCGTAAAGTCGGCATTTTGAAAATTTCCTATTCTTTATTTTTTTCTCTCGTTCAATCAGTTACCTAGGGTTGACAATGGGGCGGATCGAGGATGGATACATAACCCCTATTCACCGTCCTTTATCCTTGTCCGGTTTCCCGGTCCCCGTGACCTATCGGATGAAAATTACATACCAACACCGCCACCCAGCGGTTTCGGGTAGCCCACGGGTCCCCGTTCATAACCAAAAAAAATATAAAAAAAGGCAAATAGTTTCTGAAAATACTTCACACTCCATTTGAACTGAAAAACCTGATGTTCAAAACTGCTGGAAGGCTCTAGGAGCTGTAACCCTCCCACCACCCAACACCCACATCTTTATTACATAAAAATTACTAATATGCTGCAACAAGCAAACAAGCTGCTACGGCCGATATCCCACCACCCAAAACCATATGTCATCTCATGTAGTCATGTTCTGAAGTTCATCCAAAAATAAAATGGAACACTCACAAAAACATAGGCAATCAACATCAGAACACCATCGTTCTCAATCAAACTAAACTCTAAAGGCAAACAGCTTAGTGACATAAACGATCCTCCAAATGCATCCCAATGAGCAAAACCATTCAGCAACAGGACGATCGTTTGGAGGATAGTTTATGTCACTAAGCTGTTTGCCTTTAGAGTTTAGTTTGATTGTAATGAATGGAAATCAGTCGATTGTAATGAAAGGAAGCAAGGACCAAGTGAAGCTTTAATGCTTTATACCTTTCCACTGGTTCTTCCTTTCATTGTCAATCATCTATATAGAATTTTGATCATCACAAGGTCCTCTTCATCTGGAACAAACATAAAAAAAGTTGTTAGTGGATAGTTCATGTGGCATAATGAAGAGAATTGAAACTAAAAGAACCATCAACTTAGTAACTTACCCCCATTCTCTTGACCTTCAGAAGTTGAGTCTTCAATTGACAAAGCTGTAAATACTCCTTTCCATGACCTCAATATCAGCTTCTGATTCTGTAAACCATCAAAACAAAGGCAAACGATTAGAAAGTAAAGTTACAGATTAAACACATAGGAAGAATAGAGTAATTTCATATTACTTCTTTGCATATCTTCCATGATCCCGCTGCGGGTACACATCATTGTCTTCACTGTACTATAGTGCAGCCTGCTCCGGTGAGGGTCTAATAACCTCTCACCAGAGATAAAGCAGACTCAGAGGCCATTGATGTAACTGGTATGGCCAAGAAATTTCTTGCAATTGCTTGCAAAGTGGGGTACTTAAGACCATTGAGTTTCCACCACATCAATATATCAAAATCAACATATCGATGAGGAATGAGTTCCTCAAAAAGATAGTTCAACTCAGTAGTAATCATAGTTGTTTTGCTTCTTTTCCTTTGACTTACAAAGATATCCAAATTTAGATAATTGACAGTAACTGAACTACTACCATTACCATAACAAGGCGAAGAAGAAGAATCAAAATTCTTCTCAACCTTGGTCTGGTTATCCAGAACCAAACTAAAAATCATTCCCTTTATATTCTTAGCCACCAAATCAGTATTAGTGTTGCCAAACTTACCAGCATAATACTCAATCACATGAAGCCGCCAGATCCAAATGTATATCATCCCAATACTTGGTAAACATCAATCACATATTTCAAGCCATAGCAAAGATGATGGCCACGGATCAGCACACCAATCAAGCAAACTCAATCTCAGGTCACAAATCTTACTTAAAAACATATTAACAGTGGGATACTTGGTACCAGAAAAGAGCTATGTAATCTCACTAGAAATTTTCAGTTTATCAATGACAATGGCAGCAAAATCCCAGTGCTCATTAGTAGAGAAAGTAGTGTATTGACTATCTTCCACTGTTAGACAAAAGCACACATCTCTGTATAGAATAGCAACAAACAACATTTCATAGGTTGAATTCCACCTTGTTGGACAATCAAGCACAAGTTTTTTGGCACAAGACATTTTGAACTGCTTAACAGTCTCAAAGGTCTAGACCCTCTTAGGTGTAGAGTTGCATTACACAACACTCTCCCTAATCAAGTGAAATGAGGATACTCATGGACCATAATCATAGAACACAACTCTTTCCTAGACACATCAGAATTAAACTGAGTAGCAGATAGAAAGGGGTTTCTGGTTGGTTTGTAATTAGGACCAAGAACTCTTTGTCGACCATCATGGATCTTTCTTTGGATACATGTCTTGTAATGGCTCCTTAGGTGGGAGGCTTCATTACTAGTATCACCACCTAGTGCTTTTTGACAATACTTACCCCTAGCTTTAATAACTCGATTCAAATTAACCTTAATGAAATGAGGCCAGACATCAAAAGTCAATTTTCTACCTTCCTCCTCAAGAATTACTTCACCGATTTCATTTTCATTAGCCAAGATAGCATTGACATTACCCAGATTACCATTACCATTATAGTTAGTAAAATACGGTACGGGAAAGTTACGTAAAAAATACGTACGGGTATTATACTTCGTCTCTAAGCTAAAGTTACGTTTAATAGTACGTAAATAGTCATAAATATATACAATTAATCATTTTAAAAATAAATAAATATATAAATAATATTAAAGTTAACAATTTAATTTGTAAAATACGGATAATAAACGTGTTATACGGATTTTATACGTGTTTAGTACGGGAGCCATCAAATGAACGGGAAAAAATGAAACAGCTTGACAATAATACGGATACAGAAGTTTTAAACGGATAAAGTACGTACGCGTATATATACGTGTATTAAACAGAGTTTTTACTAACTATACCATTACCATCATAACCAACAATTTCATGTTGGTTGTTTTGATTACCAGGCACATGAGAAGCATTCAGATTGACAACATCATTTGGGTTGTCCATCTGACATGAAGAAGATAACACTAATTAATCACTAATCAGATACAAGCAGACAGCAGACAGAGAACACTCACAAACGTCAAACCCTACCCACTAAGACCTAGCACTTGCAATGTACACAACCTGTCAACCTCTAAGACCAAACACATACAATTTGGAGCCGTGGAGTTTGGCTATGCTAACCTGTAATCTAGAGAACTGGAGAAGGAGGCTTTATATTCCATAATGTAGATGGTAAACCGAGGCCTAATAATGCGAACCTGATGATCTCCAACAAACAACCAAACAAATGTGCATTAGACTACATACACTGATGAAGATCTAGCTAATTTATTCGTAAAAATAAATTCGAGTGTTCTTTACCTTGACTGTGCTCTGTGCAGAATGCAGAAGAACAAAAGAACTAGGGGTCGTTTGGAGAACATGATTTAGGGCGTGGATTCATTGAATCCATAGATTTTGTAGAAAGTTATGTTTTTTTGTTGCTTTTTGTATTGTGGATTTTAGCTTTTGAGATTTCAAATCTCTAAAATCTATGGATATCAAATCTCTCATAATCAGAGAGATTCTATATCTTGATTCATGAGATTTTTTTTCTCCTACCTTTTCTCTTTCTTTTATTTATTTATCATATTAAATATATTTACTAACAAAGTTTTTAATATTTCTCGAACTACTCTAATTTTTTATTAAGGATAAACATGTTATAAAATATAAATTTTTTATTTTTATTATCATTGAATGTTAACAATCACAGTTACCAAACAAAAAACATTTTAAAATCTATTTTCAACAATTCGAAGAGTTAGAATCTTTAGATTGTTGACAATCTATAGATTTAAAATCATATTCTCCAAACGACCACTAAAACTTTCCAGACTCCAGTGACCCGTACAATTAATCACGTGGTTAATTTATAGGAGAAAGAATAATTTTTTTTTTTCGTTGAATCGAAAGAAAGAATAATTTGAAACGGAGAAAGAGAGGAAAAGGAAAGAACTAATATCGATGAGTGGATTATCCACGATTTCTCCCAATAACTGCAAAGCGAAGATCGAAAGTGTCATTTTAGGATTTTGCATGGTGCGAAACTAGCTTCAGATTAGCCAAATTCGATGGATAATGATGGCCTAACAGTTGGATCGAGCGGATTTTGTGGGGAATCAGCGAAAAATCCTAAATCAGAGAGAATTTCTCTCTAGAGAAGTGAAAAAGACGGAGAGAATCAGAGAAAGGGGAGAGGAAGGTGCAGTCGAGACTCGGAAAGGGGGAGGGAAAGTGCAGAGATTAGGGTTTCAGTCTCCAACAGTCGTTATATACGAGTGATCAAAACAATATCGTTGCAGGGACGGGGCGGATATCCCAAAATTCCCCAACACCAGTGCTCCGCTGATGTTGGGTATTGGGCATGCCGAATCCTTCGTTTGCCCGACTCGAACTGGTATTTTGGACACTACACGGGCGGGTTTCGGGCGAGTACCCGGAGCTCCGGTGCAAAATGCCATCCCTATTTATTTCTCGAAACCATATACAAAGTGCATATGGAAATTTGATACAACGAAATGGGAAAGTTCAAGATGAGGAGCCCCAAATTATAAAGTCAATTCCTCTACCAAATTACTTTGTTGCCTCTAAATTGCTACAAAATTAAAATCCTTTATATCATTTCACAAGTTCATATTGCCAAAACTCATGACAGCAAAGCTCAAGATAGTTGATTTCCTATACTCTCAGCAGATCCGGGGACCTGTCCATGAACCCTACAACTAGGGATGTTCAAATGGTTACCATGATAATAACCAAACCAAATAAGTCTAAAATCTATTAACCATGGAATACAATATCATAACCAAACCGTCCAAACTAATACAACAACCAAATTAACCAAACTAAAGTTTATTCGGTTTGGTTAATTGGTTAACCAAAATAACCAATATAACACCACATTATCATTAAGTGAGAAAAAATTTCAATTAGTGCATCAATTTGCAATTTATATAACGAACAACACATAACAATCCACATAATTGTAGTTAACCCTTAACGTTAATACATGTAACAAATACAATTATCTTACACTTGACTCTTGAGTGGTTATGCAAAGTATTAAGTATGTGTATATAATATATATTAGATATATGACAAATTGAGTGGTTATGCAAAGTATTAAGTATGTGTATATAATATATATTAGATATATGACAAATTACTTAACTGGTTAATTTGGTTTGATTGGTTAGGAGTGCCTGAAACCAAACCACCTAAACCAAACAAGCTAAATTTTTTAACCAAACCAAACCAATTATCAAAATTAACCAAACCAAATTAGCCAAATACTACTTATTAAAATGATTACCACGGTAACCACACCGTTTGAACACCCCTATGCCCTACCTGCAACAATGTTCTCTCCGTAATAAAATCGTACTTAGACACCGCATAAGAATGGCGAGTCATCCAACTATTATCGTCCTCTTGCATAGATCAGCATAAGAATGGCGAGTCATCCAACTATTATCGTCCTCTTGCATAGATCAGAGACTACACAAAGTGTGTCCTCCCATGCAGCCTTGCAAAAATGACAATGTATGCAATTTTAACTAGTAATGACGATGTCGCGCCTTATTGCGGGAGATGGTTTATCGGCATGTATTATGTAGTCCAATATGGTGTTTTGTTAGTATTATTAGTCTAAAATTAATTTTTTGTTAGAAATTTTGTTAGTAATACTGACTTGAAAATATGATATTGTTTCAGAAGAGATATATGGCGGTCAACATCCAAAAGTTTAGTACTTATCTAAGTAAAGATGTACCAAATTATCAACGATAACAGACAAGTAACTAAGATTTTGATGCATTACAAAAGATTTGGCTAATGTTTTGTATTTCGAAAAGTTTGATTAATAATTCAAATTTTTTTGAAATATTTGGCTAATAAATTATAGTTACCTAAACCCAAATAGACCCATTGATTATGGGTATTGTATGAGTGACATATATATGAGTTAGGGTAGGGTATAGATATTTACTTCCATAATCTAAATGTGTATGAGTTGGGTATGGATACCCATTTATTCTTGGATGTTTTAATTACACATACAAAAGGTACCAAAATGTAATACACAAAAAAATTTAGGTACTAAAATATAATATTCCACAAATATTATGAGGACTTATATGCCAAAAAATAAACTTAGGTTATAAATCTAAAGATCTATTAAGTTTAGGTACTAAACTGTGATTTGCATTTGGATAAAACCCATCAAATTCTACCATTTACCATCTATTTAGATTTCATACTCAACCCAATTGAGTTGGACAATAAAACGAGACAATTATGTCAAATTGATCCGTTACAATTCATCATCTAAACGTCCCCTATGACACACACCATCTGTAGTTTTCCCTCATCGAATCAGTTTCTCCTTCGTGAAAGTCTCATCCATACTAACCATTTAGGAAATAAAGCTATTACGTGGAACATAACCTTTAGTCCAGACAAACACTTCCCTATCAACCATAAGATGTTTAAACTTCAAGGAATTTCACTCTACTGAATACTTTAAACTTGTTCATTATTGTACAATCCCCAGTAGACAACATAACCTTGCCTATTAAAGTGGCGTTGCAGCACTGGCCTTGTCTTCAGAACATGCCTCCATACCAGTGGCGGAGCCACATGAGGCCAAGGTGGGTCATTTGCACCACCTTGGCCCAAAAAATATGGAGTAAATTAATTTATATGATTGTTGATAAATACAAAATTTCTATATGATTGTAGATAATTTTACGTAAAGTAATATTTTATGATCTCTATTTAACTTTTAGTTTATATATTCGATAAGAGATTTTAGTATATACAAAAACTCGAAAAGTAATGTTATTACTTAGACCTGTTTGTTGCTATCGGTTGTCATTCATGTATTGAAAGAGTACTTATGCAATTAGCAAAGTAAAGAAATACTTCATAATAAGATGAGTTGTGTAATCATGAACGATTTTTCGTTGTGATATCTTAACATCTCTCATAATTTGCTTGATGAATATATTTTAGAAAATTTTCAAAACATGAACACATTCAACAACATACGTTATATATATATCTTTTTCATATTTGACCCACCTTAGATAAATTTCTGACTACGCCACTGCTCCATACCCAGGAACTATTCATACTTACATTCATAGTCCATATGCTACTCTCATGTACCCACCTTAACATCTTTTCCTCCAGTCCTTATCTTTTTTTTTTTTCTTCTCTCAAGTAAACAGTATCATTTTGTTATAGAAACTTGCCTGCAAAATTTGAATCCAAGGTGCGAAGGATCTTTTACTCATGTGTTACCACTAGACCCCCTGCCAACACTTAAATCATAGTTATTTAACATTTTCTTTCTTAGGTGTTTGTATTCCATAATCATCATCTTTGGCCATTTGTGATTGATTTTGTGCTATATTTGCTTCCTAACATCATACTCTAAGATTCACGACTTTTA